CCATCATCTTCAGCTTACCAGAACTGAAGGCCGGAGTAACTGTTTCTGATACGCTTCCATTCATTTCCAACTACTCCCGGTAATCCTTTGTCCAGTGGTTTCATATTTATATCAAACACTCGATGGTCGTGGAAGTACGAGAAGTCCTTGATCAGAATTTGACGAAGTTTGTCCAGATCCCCAACTATCAGCTGAGGATTTCGCCCTTCATAGATACCAACAATCGGGCCATATTTTGAAATATATTCGAGATGACTTTGATGCAATCCAAACTTTACGAACATTTCGAAACCATTGCCAATAAAAGGGAGTGGCTTAGGTCCTGGTATACCACGCTGTTTCCAGTACGAGAAGTTCCATATGCCTTAAATGTACAGCAGAGTCAATACGAGCGCGATAAGTAGCCATGTCGTTGCTTCCAGCCCGAGAAATTCCATTAAGGATGGTTGTTGAGATCAGGATTTCTTGAATTGAAATAACGGCCTTATAAAGTTTCCTCAGAATAGGCCTACTCAGCTTTTAACTTTCTGCTCTGTGACTATGCAGTGCTTCAATATGCACAATATGGATATTCTTACGACACGCTGCATTCAGATAGCATGACTGACGTTTAACAACACCTCGTATTTATATAAAATCGTCGGAACAATATCCACGGCCAAACTATCTCCCACTGTACAGACGAGAATGAACTGTAAACATAACACAGGCCAATTGAAGCACGGCTAGATCAATATGCATAGGCCTACAATTGTCAACTTGACACCTGATTTAATATAAGGGCAATATCTCTGATTGACGACTATGAAGCACACTGTATAAGGTAATGTAGAACGATGGACAAAACGACGTTACAGCTCAAAAGTACGATGACTGATAAATACAATAACGACGTAGGCTTAATGACTGGAAATCCGCTATAAAGTATTTTCAAAAAATGTTTAAACTATGCTATAAAAAATGAAACATTATTGGGCCTATTTATAATTTTCAATATGTGAAATAATGATGTTTAAGGCCTAGTGCTACATAACCGAAATTCAAGATTGTATATAGCAAGACCTCATTTTTCATTCATTTTCACTGTAATAAGACCTGAAATGGCTTATCAATAACAATCTAAAGTCACAATCACTTATGCACTTAATGATCTCAAGACATCTCAAAGCTCATGCAAAAGATAAGTCATGCTGGAAAGATTTTATCCGAAACTTTACTAAAGCAGCCGGCCCAGACGAAGCAGTTCAGAGATGACTATATGAATATAAATTTCACGGCCAAACTATAGCCATGGAGGTATTATTGAGGAACTGTAAACATGAATCAGTCCAAAGAACGGCCAGATCAATGCATACAATTATTGTCAAATTGATACCTGATACCATATAAGAGCATTATATATCACAAGCTGATTAACGCTCAGAAGTGACTAATGATTACTCGACGTAGGCAATGTGTATGGCAAACCCAGTTGTAATTTAATCGTAAATTTCATAATTCATAATTTGCAATCGTATAACAGATTGGATAATACAAGATATTCAAAGGAGGAAATAAAACACAAACAGGTAAAATAAAAAATCAGTCATAGAAAAAAAACAAAAAATCAGTAGATTAAAATTAAAATTATAATTATCATTATATATACAAATTATCTGTTATCCATTAGTTACAAAAACTTTATAAAAATCCTAATTACAGGAAGTGGCATTTTCTAAATGTCATAAATGTATTCGTATTAATTAGAATATATTATTATTTACAAAAAATTATAAAAATGTTATTATTTATTTAAAAAAAAAATCAACATTTTAATCACAAGTTGAAGCAAATTCTAAATATCTAAAATTCCATATAAAAAAAGTTCTGGTAAAATATAAATAAATAAACAGAGGTATCTTAGTTTTAAATAGAGATATCTCTGTCTAAAACGAAGATATCTCTATTTAAACTAAGATATTTCCATTTAAAATAGAAATATGTTTAGTAATAGAAATATATATAAGTTTTAAATAGAGATATCTCTATTTTAAATAGAGAAACAGTAAGTTTCACTGTAGGCCATTTAGTATGCATTAATCACAAAACAAGCTGTGAAACAATACCTCTTACTTTATCATTCGAAAAACTTGCGAAAATTCTATTTAGGCCTCTTAGTTTGGGTGGACTATTGTAAAAGGCCCGTAGAATCTTTTCATATGTGTCACGAGCTCAAGAGATGTTTTCCACCCATTCCTCCGATTATACTAATAATAAGAATCCCACTGGGTATTTCTGTGAAAAAATACTGATAGCTTGATTATTTCAAAATTACTGTCAAAGAAAGGAAGAAACCATTACTGTTCAAATCGCCCACTGTTTTGCCTGTCTCTTATACACATCTAGATGTGTATAAGAGACAGGTTTTCATGTGCCACAAATTGTATGTGAAATAACAGATGTGACGAGTATTTTCTATTATAGACATTTAAAGTAATAATTGTTTAAGATGAAAATATACGAAGCCCGAGGTAAAGCTAACGACTGTCTCTTATACACATCTAGGTGTGTATAAGAGACAGGATAATAGCGTATATGAGATTGATGGAAGTGCATGAGAAAGTGTCCTTGATAGCATGAGTGCCGGATGGTCCTTTAAGAATATTGGTGGAGTAGATGTGTGCGCAAGTATTACAACGAGGCCTATGGCATGAAACAGTCGATCCTGAACAATCATCAGTAGACCTGAGAGATGAGCTGACGAGACTATTTCTCCTATCTTTTCTATATGAACAAAGTGGAGGAGATTGGAAGATCGCACTTGTGGTTTCATCTGATAAAAGTATATCGAAATTATTCTTTAAAATGGTGAAGATTTTGGTAGTCGTAGGATGGTAAGTCAGGATGATGGGTATTCGATCAGCGTCAACATGCGTACGGGGTTGTAGAGCTTCATCTTGAGTCATGTGCGCAATACGTTTTAAAGAATTATCAGTTATGTGAGTAGGATATCCTCTATCCTTGAAAAATGAGATCATTTCAGTAGCTACCGACGAGCTTTCTTTAGCATTGTTTTTATCATACTTTCTCCAGAATCGATGAAACGTCATCAGGGTCCTGATTGGCCAGGTAATTCAAAACAAAAACAAACGTCACTTCGGCATTAATTATTTACAATGCAATTGGAACGGTATAGTAACCGAAGATGAAAAACTGAATTTAAATATGTATTGCAAACTAGGATAATATGGTATAATGTAATATTTAAAATGCATTTACTTAATAAAAGCCGTCGGAAGTGGTCCGGTTATGGCCGGACCAATAATTTATAACTCAATTCCGATTTTGCTAAATCAACCATTCCTGTCCTAAGCAAAGCAGCAATGACAATTGATTAAAAAGCTTCCTTTTGTATCTTGATTATACTGGTAATTGAAAATGCTACCACTGAAAATATTAAAGATGCTAAGTGTATCGGTTATGCGAGTGGCTGCTGCTCCGGACTGATTTGTTCCGGACATTGGCATATTCTAAACGTTTTGCGTTGTTTTTATTATTGTTGTTGTTGTTGTTGTTGTTGTTGTTGCTGCTGCTGCTGTTGCTGCAGCTGCTGCTAACTTACTACACACATCTAACTAACCTTGCCAACACATCTTCAAACTAATTACCAGTAATTAGGGTTTGGTAAAAGAATATCTAATCTATATATATGATTGGTGACAAAATATTTTATACATTTATTTATCTTTCTTAGTATCAAACTAAACAATTAACCATTTAATTTATATTTTGTAGACTATTAAAGACGGCTGTGTTTTTTTTTTTTTTTCAAGTTCATCATCTGGTAATTTTTTTGACTGCACCTTTAATAAAAGTAAGAATTTACTGAATAATTATTAGTGAATAATGAGTGTAAAATTATTTTCTTAAGATTAAGAACATAATTAGGAAAAAAGTGCTAATAATGGTAAGACACCTAAAATGTCGGTGCTACGATTGGTCCTTACTCAAGATATTAGGCCTTTATTGATTTTTAGTATATTTCGCTTAGGGGGATCATATGGGTGTAATTTATCATGTGAATTGACCATATACCGAAAACATGTTGAAATATGAAATTAACATGGTAATTTTGCATTATATCCATCCAGCAAAGAAAACAACAATTGGAAGGGAGCCTTAACTCACCAAGCATTTAAAAGCTAGCAATCAACCAATCACAAAACACAATCATGCATATTTAATTCATGGCTGGCGAATGCACAAATACTAAATTTACGATTTCCCGATTTGTTTACTTCATTCGTAATGCTTCACTTGTGTGCATATTCTATTTAATTTTCAAGATCCTTGACTGATTTTTCAAGTTTGATAAGTCGTTATTGTATGCTTTTTTATTTTCCTTATCCATTTAACTGCTCAGACAGCCTGCTTAGTTGCTCGGCTATTCGTGTTTCCCTCTTTCCGTCGATGTCTTGAATTGAAATATTGAGGTAGTAGCTTATACTAATAGGCCTACTCTTACATTAATTTCCCTGTTTCTTTTTTGGTTCCAGTGCTGTAAAGCAGTAGGAACATTTGAAATGGCATGGATGTTCGTCTGTACGTCTCTGACGCTGATGTCATCAAATTTGTTGAAAAAATATAATAAGGCAAAGTTAAATTTCCAAACCCTGTTGGTTATGAATTTTTACGTAAAGCATTATTTATAAATAATTGAAATGCCAGAAGTCATTATATATAAATAATAATTTTACTCTAGTCATTATTTATAAACTATTGTTTTAACATCATATTAAATAAGGAAAATCGCTCCAACAATTATTTATACATAATTGTTGGAAGCAAAAATAATTATGTGTATACCTGTATAATGAAAAATGTTGATGTAGTCTATGATTATTTTGTTTCTAATAAATCTCTCACTCAGTTTCAATCATGATTTACACCAGATGATTCTACCACATACCAGCTTCACCTTACAGACATTTCTTCGAACTCGAATAAAGTGATGTTTATCTTCTTAGCTATATCTAAGGCTTTTGACAAGGTGTGGCATAATGGTATTATTCATAAACTAAACCAATATGGCATAAATGGCACATTACGTGAGTGATTCTGTAGCTACCTTATCCAACTTCAACAACACGTGATTATTGATTATTGAGGGAACTGCCAGTCCTTGGACTCACCTTTCAGCAGGAGTACCGCAAGGTTCTGTTTTCGGCCCTTGTTTATTTTTTTTATTGACGTCGTGGTGATTATTGAATGTAATATATGCGGACGATACTTCACATTGATATTTGTATTGTAATTCTTTCTGAGCAAAAAATGTTAAAATACATGCCTGCGCATCAAAATGGAAAGTCTGTAATTGATAAAGCAACGATATCATTAAATATGTTGAGTCTTACTAAAAATAATATAAAAATAAAAAATATAAAAATAAAATTACCTTTAAGATTACCTGAGTGATGCTTTAAAAAACATACAGATATCAGCTGCTAGATCGTCTTGGTGCATGGAAACATACAAGCCACTCTGCCTTGTGGTTATATTTAGGATGGTCGTTATTAAAAAAATCGGAGAGAATTTCTTAATACGTCTTGGTTTTAGTGACTTAAACTCTCATCTATTTACTTTTGGTCTGCAATATGACTCAAAATGTGCAGGTGGAGACAAAGTTGAGGATCCACGTCACTTCATTTTTCTCTACCCTACTTATGAAACAGAAAGAAAAAAAATTGCTCACAAATTTTGACACAATTGCAACCCATGTTTTAGCCAAAGAGGTTTATCCTTATAATAGATTGATATGGTGCTAATATATAAAACTATACAAAACTACACTATTATTATCATTATTATTATTATTATTATTATTATTATTA